TACGGCGAGCTGACGGAGTGGTGGGTCCCTCTTTCCATGGCAAAAAACAGTCTCAGTAGAGTGGCTCTGGAGATTCCTGCCCGCACAAAGGTCAGGTGGATCAGCCCGTCGTCAAACCTGGCCTGAGGTGCAGCATGAAGATCTGCCCCGAGGTGGGTCTGATACAGAGCCAAGACCAGGACAAAGTCCCCTTCGATGGTGACCCAGTCTCTGGTAGGAAGGGGTTGGTCTAGGGGGGGTAGCAAGTCATCTCTAGGTACATTTAAAGGCAGTGAGACAAAAGGACGGTTCTTTTGGGGTCCTGCTGGCTCGGCAATGTCAAAGTTAAAAGACGAGGACGGCGTACGTACAGAGGGTGAGGGTGAGGCGGAGTTCGGGGTGTTAGGACGGGGGACGAGGTAGGATGAGGAGTGTGGGGAGGCACATGAAGGGGAAGAGGGGGGTGTGGGGGAAAGAGAGAGGGAGAGAGAGGGGAGCTTAGGGGGGAGAGAGTTTGAGTGGGAGTGTTGGAGGAGGGAGAGGGGCCGCGGCCGGGAGGCGTTCTGGTTTTGGTCCAGGGTCTTGGGCTTGTAAGAGAAGGGAGAGTGACGAAAGGGAGATGAAATGGTTAGGGCTCGTTCTCGAGCAACGTCCAGTGGGTAGTCTTCTTTCTGGTAGTAGGTCCCATTCAGATCCAAGTCCTCGACCCCGTATGAGGTCCTGGAGTCTGCGTTGACCTCCTGACTGAGAGGCTGGCTAAAGAGGTCGTTGGCTATCTGGCTTGAAGGGGCTGAATTCTTTCTGACAGCCTTTCTGGCTTCCTGGAGGGTATCTTGGTAGGCGAGACAATTATCTGGCTCTTCATTCACCTCCCGCCCCATGTCCACCCCACAGCCTTCTCCACGCTCTCTCCTCTCCTCTACAGAACCCCCACTTCCATCCCCATCCTTCTCCCTATCCTCCTCCTCAATCTCACTGGAGTCCTGCTCCACCCCTAACTCATCTTCCCTTTCATCCTTGATCCCCTCCAATCTTTCCTTTCCCATACTGCAGTCATCCCTTTCGTTTGATTCAGAACTTGTCCCCGACCTCTCAGAACACGTCCCTGACCTCTCCTCTTCTGCTTCCATCTCCCCCTCCCGTTCCCTCTCTCTGTCCTCCGCCAGGCTGCTCGCCCTCACCACGCCAGACCCACCCCCCCTGGCCCTCTCCCTTCTCCTCTCCCTTTCTCTCTGCCTCTCCTCTTTTTCCCTCTCTCCTTCACCCTTACGTAGGCTTCTCTGTTCACTGATGCCCATGTCAGAGCAGGTGCGATGGATGGGGGTTCGGCAGAAGCCCTCCAGCCCTTCAGTGATACTGCGGGAGAGGGGTCTCCTTGGCGGAGGGGGTGTGGTATCGGGTGACGTGGGGCAAATGGAGGGCGGCAGGTAGGACAAACGACCCTTGTAGGATCGAAGAGAAGCAATGCGCACCAGGGTGCCCAGGGTGAAGCGCGCTGAGCCCAGGCCACGATACCTGAACCAAAAACATATTCAATGTAAAGATATCTTTGGGTTAAAAACAGGTGATACTGCACAACAATTTATCTAGTTATCCAATCTAGTAAAGGCAACTACACACCCACCTCTCACTCTCTATGTCCACATCGGACACAAAGCCCCAGGCAACAGAAAGGAAAGAAAACAGTCTCCTGGGTGCCGCAGCACGACTGTTGTTGGAGGAAGCAGGGCTGGTCGTCACGGAGACTATGTCCATGGGCTGGACACCGCCTCGGCAGAGTAAGAAGCAGCAGTTCAAAAGGAGGGGCTCCCGAAGGCACATGTCATACCTGAGGAGACCAAAAATAAAGACAACATGTCCTGTCATAACAGATTAAAAAAAAAGGAACTGTACAGATGAAAGGTCGATACAGAGTCCTTAAGCTTTCAGAGAAATCTCAATATAGATAACAAGGTGGTGATACGGAGCAGCACTGTACTCTTTTGTTTGAAGATAAGATGAAACAACCCTTTAAATTAGGTTGATCTGACTGTATAAATCCACATGTGTGTGTCTATATCTATCATAGGGATGATAGGTGATCATAGGTTTTCCATGATAATACAACATCACAATCAACAAAACCCTTTTTGACGTTTGAAGCCCTTAAAGATCCAACCATCACAGGGATGTTTGTCACGCTATATATGTTTGATAAGGATATTGAAAGTTTAAAGCTGTCATATAGAGGTGTGATGATACACACCCTAAAGTCAGCAGGATAGTAGAGGTACTAAAGCTGCATGTTTAACACATTATAGAACAGATTATCAGCAAACAGGATCTAAACTACCAAGAAAATGCAAAGAGGAGATATCATATCAAAGAGCTCTTGATCTAGGATTCACCTTAAACACCTCGTCTAGTACCTACAGATCCTAATGTTCAAGGTTCAACTGGAGAGGACAAAAAAATATGATCAACCTCCCAGCTATGAATGCGATATATGCTCACCCTGCGTTGTGGTTGATTGAGCCAGCCAGTGCATTTCCAGACCCGCAGGGCAAAATGCCTACAGGTGTTTTTATTGCTTGTTCCCAGTCAGCACGTTCCATTAGCCCGTTAATAACCTGCAGGAACAAAACACAAACATTCAGAAAATCCTCTGTGGACACAGTTTACGCTGTGCATGTATGTAAGACAAAAACACACAATAAATATCTTTACTGAAGTTAGCGGTTACACACCTCATGCAGAAGGCCATCTCCAGAGACAATGATGATGCCATCCCACTCTTGGAGCGGGATCTCTCTGATCAGCTCTCTGGCATGATTCTGACGTTCTGAGACAGATTCATGCAGTTAATATCTTATAAACTATAGTTATTTGTGTTATGGTGCTACCTTTGCTGTTGATGTGTTACCTGTCTGTATGAGGTTATAACTAATGTTGGCCTCTCTGATCATTGGCAGGATGTGGGTCTGACACCACTGCATGGCCTGGCCTCTCCCACTGAAAGGATTGACCAATAACAGTAATCGTCTAGGACGAGGTAGAAGACTTCTTGAAAATTCTGTATCAAAAAGGAGGAAGTGCATTAGAGCATTAAAACTGATGCAGTTTTTTTTTTGTCCAGAACAAAGAAGGGAAATTAAGGTTCACTGCACCTAAAGCTAACTGGGAGCTGTCATTCCATAACCTTACCCAACCCCAGACTGTCAGCACTTCTTATTTCACCAAACCGGATAAACTCCACACTGCAAAAACCATGTCTGTTAATCATTTAAACTCAGATACAAGAGAGAGATTACATTTAGCACTCTGAAGAGAAGGATCAGTCAATCAGTACTTTCTTATTTATAAGTTAGACAACTCTTCCATTATCTGTCATCTAACACGATTAGCTTCTAAAAAACAATGTAACATTGAGGGAGGTAAAGATGGATACCAGCGGTGCAGGGGAGGCAATGAAAGGACTGCACTCTCAGATAGTCCAGGATTATGCAACAAACTACACTAAAGCTAATCAACAGAGCGATAAGTTAACCCACAGCTACAATGTGTACATGGATAAAAAACTGACAGAATCAAGCCAAATGGAGCGATTAGGTAAAATAATTAACGCTAAGGGAGCAGTGGAGCAGACACAAGGGGTTGAGCAGAAGGCTGACAAACTCAGTCCAAACATTGCAGCAGAGTATGAGACAAGAGCAGGCAGGAAACAAACAGAGGAGTGGTATGAATTAAAAATGAATGGCAGCATTATCACTGTAAAGGGGCAGTTAAGTGATGATAAACACTGAGTTAAGAAAAGATAAGTGACAGAAAGATTGAAGAGAATTAAAGGTTAAGATCTAGTCTAAAGAGGAAGGAGACAGGATAACATGCAGGGGCACACAGTGAAAGTAAACACTTTGCGGGGTCTTGCTATCTGTTTGATTATTTAGGCTGGGGATACAGCACATGAGAAGGGATGGTGGGCTGCAGCAGCCCCACCCTCACTGTCTCTACTTTTAACATTGAATGATATAGACCATGTGTGCAGGACAGATAAGGGCAGAAAAAACAAAGAATTGTTAGATAAATAAAGTCAAGAAACATTTGTAGAAACAATAAATAAACAAATAGAATTCAAGCCAAATAAATCTCCCCCCCCCCCCCTGCTCTTAAGCTGTATTAGTCTTGTTAATCTCACTTTGTATTTTCTTGCTACATGTAAAAGACCCCCCTTGGTAGCATTCAGAGACAAATAGTTTGTGCTGTACACACTGATAGGTCCTGGATCAATGTGACATTAAGCTTTACTTAGCAAGCATTTACAAAGCAGGCATAAATCAGAGCAGCACGAGACAACAATGCATAGTTTCATGTAGTAAACAACAGGAATTAAAGCCTGATTGAAGGATTAAGTGTAAAGGTCAGCCAAATTAAATACAGCTATTATCAGCAGTGAATTTACAATGTTGCCACACTTAATAAGCTATTCACTTAAATACCACAAATGTAAATAAAATGGAATCCTAAATAAAAGGAGCACGCCTACGTTCATGGACTGCCTTTTTGATGCAAGTATCAATAAGAACAGAAGGAAAATGCATTCAGTTAAAAGGTGAAGTAGTGATGGAATGCAAGAGATGTGTAAAATCCCTAATATGGTCCTATAACACAAAACACCTTCTCACAAACACCCCCAATCCCTTTAGTGAGTCACACACTCACCTGTGTCAGCAGTGACGGTCACATCTCTGAGTAGGCATTGCACAGCAGCCGACCACCTCTCAGCTTCAGGTCTGCTTTCTGCAAGGTACGCCCTTACCTGCCTGCGCCTGGACACCCCTTTCCGTCGTTTACCTGGTGGGTACCAGTACAGCACCAGGAGAGGGGGCGCAGGGGCACGGGGGCAGCTGCATCCCACTAGCTCTGATAAAGGCAGCAGGAGACGGGCTTCCTTCCCCGGTCGTGGTGACAGACGTTGGATGTGTATGTGGGTGTGGGTCAGGGTCAAGGCATAGTTGGAAGCCGGTGCCAGAGTTGGGGAGGCAGCCGGGGAGAGTCCCCCTGGACCACCAGGGCTGTTGGGGCAGCTGTTATTGTTACTGTTGCTGCCGGATCCCCAGCTGGCAAACTGGCCATGAAGGAGGGCTTCTGCTGTGGAGGGCGAAGAAGGTTGTGGAGACCGCATCCTCGGATTATCGAGAACTGTCAGTATATCAAACTTTAGTGTAGAATTTACTGAGTATTGTCTACAGTTAGAGACTTGAAGAGTTGAGTTTGGAGGGAAACATTTGCAGGGAAAATCAAAAGGTATCTGAATGTCAGTCCGAGAACATTATCCCTGAAATCTCCTCAAAACCATTCTCCTTCTTCAGTGTTTTAATTCAAGAACTCATCGAAAGTCAGCTGAAAATGTCGGCTCCTGTCTGTTGTCCGTATCTAACTCCTTCCAGTTTAAAGGTTCTTCTCTTTAGAGTATTTATCCAGTGGAGATGGGATCTGCTATCAAACAGTCTTTGTGTCACAGTTAGAAAGATCCCATCACAGTTTGATCTGAAGAAGTTCTACAGTTAACAACCAGCAAGATTTCAACATACTAATGAATATTTTCAACAGTTAAATCAGTCATTTGAACAACAAGTGCTCTTCTTCACAAAGCTTGCATACGTTAAAACAATGTTTAAATTACATCTTCCAGCAGCCTATATGCTGCTAAGATAATAGCATTGCAGCTGAGCAGCTACACGACATCGACGATAAATCTTTAAATAATTACACAAAGGAAAAAACTGAGACTTAGTTGCATTGAAAAAAATGATCACTTGAGTATGATTAAGACAAACAAACACACCCTGTTTATACAAGGAGGCTATATCGATTCAATTAAAGCATATGCAAAGAATTCTGTAGAGTATGTTGCATGGTAAGTGTCTGTCTGCGAAAAGGATAATTAATGCCACAAAGATATGATAAGTGCAGGCTCAAGACCTTTGATACCTTTATCGCTATCTTTAATCTCAGTGATCGAAAGGAGGCAGACGAGAGGAGGGACAAGGTCAGACCTCTGGACAGTAGTGTAACCAATTAAAGTTTCCTGACAAGCAGGTAAACACAAGGTAGGAAAGGTGGAAATCCAACAACCAAAAATACAAAAAAAAAAAGTGAAAAGAAACAAAACAAAAGACAAACAAGGAGACAGTTCCAGGTGGGTCCTTAGTTTATGTCATTGTTAAGTCCTTGAGTCAAGCCTCACGTTCCCGCCCAATGACCTCTGTTCCTGAACCACACAAAAACAGAGAGGCAAACAGTCAATTGCAAAATTCGAGGAAAAATAAAGATATTTCATGTTCAATTACTAGTCCTTTCAGAGAACAGATAGCTGAAAATGTAACATTAACAAGGAAAAATACGTAAGAAAATAAATTCAATATATCGTGCAGAAAATTCACCTGCAATTGACCTGAGCAAATGTGACTATTTCTGTTTCACATTTTCATAGTACCAGTATAACAAGTACAGAGAAGAACCACCACGATAAGAGGAAGAGATTAGGGTTACAGTGTGTAGCAATACACAATCTATTATGCCCCTTGACTTTAGGTGCATGTCTCGGCACAATATGACTCACAATCACACATCCTCAACAGCCTTGCTGAGACACCACATTGCAATGGATGAAAGGTTGCATGAGAATAATGACCACATCTGCTTGGCGTTTTCAGATTTAGGGCTTTTGTCTAGGGAACAAAGGGGAAGCAGTGTTTCACTTTTTGAATCTAGGATTTGAAGTCTGCTTACTTGTGAAATAAAGGAGAACTGGAATTTAGAGCTTTGCATACGCATTAGTGCCTAACAATCTTGGAAAAAAAAAAAGTCCCAACGAAAAAATGTGTTCTTAATGAGAATATTAAAGCAGTTTGGAAGTTGTTAATACACACAAAACACATCATTAAAAAATATGTTTACTGATTTTGTAGTAATTCAAAGGTGGCCCCTATACTATAATATCACAATAAAGTGCCTTCTACTATAAATCTATTTTCTGTATAACGGATTAGCGTCAGATGACAGTATGGTAAAAGGTGAGAGTCAGCAGTGTTACCTCAGAGTTCAATTAGTGGACTATCACAATGGGACTTGGGTGTGTATTAATAAACATGTCACATCTTTCCTCCAAGTTTGATAACAGGCAGGAAGCATTATGCAAGCCTTGGTGCAGACAAAATCAATACTTGGCCTGTGTCCTGTCTTGATAAAAAAAAAGAAAAAAAATCTCAGTAAAATGGACCTCACTGATGCCCATTGTTGCACCTCATGTCCTTGAAAATGCAGGGCGGGGACACCCAGAAATAATGTCAGCCAGCTAAATCTGTCTCCCACACAATGAGCCCACTGTTGGGTGACTTGGGGGGTGATTTGGGCAAGTTTCTGTCAGCTCATACTTTGATAACAAGAGCATTCCTGTGCTAGTTAAACACACACACTGCTAAGACTCTTTTATCAGCAGCGATGACAGCTTGACTAATAACCCTGATAATATAAAGTTAGATAGTTGTTTAACTCATTAAACTTCAGCGCTGTCGTCCACCTCCCACCTCACGACAGCTAGCAGGTTGACAGGTTAGCCAGCTGACTAACTCGACTCTGCGGTTTGACATTTCTCTTTTGGGGAATTGAGAGCATCGTTAAATATCACCAAGAAGAAAGCGTTTAAAGTTGTAAACAGGGTTAAAAAAAAAAAGCCCACTGTTACACTGAGGAGTTAGCAAACGCCAGCTTATGTTATGACTACAGTGAAATGCAGCCAGACAGGAGCAACAACATAGCGTTGTCACTTAGCAGCAGCTAGCACATCGCTACTAAACAAGAAGCCCATCTTCAAGCTTACTTCCTACGTAATTTAAGATGAATTCTCATTGATTTTATTAGTTACTTTAGCTGGCAACTCGAATTGCTCCCATTTGACATTCAGCGTTTCATTTATTTAATAGTTTCTGGAGGTATCCAAGTTAGCGAAGGATAATGTGAATGTTAGCCAGCAGCATTATAATACTCCAGCCGAGTCGCACAAAAAACTGGTAAATAAGTGTTTCTGTTTTTTTTTCCAGCCCTGGATGAAGAAGGAAGCAAGTAAAAATATATCTAAGCAAGATAATCCAACTCACATCATCTTGACCCCCCCGTCTTCAGACGACAGATAGTCCCTCACTTGTCCTGTAAACTGTGGCTCGGTGCAGGAAGTGCCTGGAGACGCAGGAGCAGCAGCAGCTTTGAGCGGCGGAGAGGAAATCCAATGGCGATAAGGAAAACATTGCAACACCCACCGACATTCTCCAATCATTGACAGGCCCCCACTTCCTGGCCAAGTCATGTTTTCTCCTGGCCAGTTAATATCAATACTGATAGGAAGATTCGTGACGTGTGAATCATTGAAAACCCACAATGGGAGACCTTATATGGATATACAGTGTGTTAAAAAAAAAAGGTGATAGAGTTTACCATCTATATTTTAGTTTTTTTTAATACGACTTCGGGCAAAATTTCATTCAGATAGAAAAAATCATGTACAGTATTTAAGAAGATGTCATTTATTTCTGCATTTGACCGGGTGTACAAGCTGCCAAACAACACACAAAAAGGCGAATCATTTTGTACAGCCAATCTTTTATTTTGCATCAGATTGCATGGAAAACAAAGACACAGATTAGTTCTTGTAAGCACGGCTGGCTCTGCGACCACGAGCCCTCTCGAACTTCCTGCCCTTGGAGCGGATGTAGGGCCTGGAAAAGAAGAGTTCAGAATAAACACATATTGCAACAAAAACCAACATTCATGTAATAAAACTGAGGATACATAGAGCTTAGCTTTATTCCTCCAATAGCATCAATATCTGCTTTCAAATGGTGAAGCCTACCTGGCACGGACCATCACTCAATTGGGAAGGGGGTCATTATTTAATGCCATTATTTGCCCTCTGACTAAACTGCTAATCATTTTAGTTGTTTCCAATGTTGCTCTTATTCCAGACTTGTGTTTGGATTATCATGTGTAAAAAAATGTACCATAAATAAAAGCATCACAGTGCTTGAGAAAATATACATATGACTAACTAGACAATAAAAGTGCCTTCATATTAGAGTGACATCCAACTGTGAAAAATGAAGTGTAAATGAAACATTTATAATTGAGGAAATCTGTATTACTTTGGTAATAGATGCTAGTATTGTGTATACAGGCTTTCTGTGGCACTGGAAGCCATCAATGTTATTCTTAACACGTGAGCCTTTACTTTGACAGGTCAAAAGAGTAGAGGAGGACAAATAGAGAACATACTAATTCCACATCATAGAAAGTCTACATAGAACTACACACAACACTAACTATGTCAGAAAACTCAAAACAATTCTGAAATCAAATGCTGTTTTTTGTTGTTGTGAGCTGCTAGACTGAATGATGTCCCTATGTTTTCCTAACAATTGCGCAAAACAGTTCAAGTCAATTTTAACTTTGTGAGACCAGCTACATGAAGTATGGACTGAGTCTATGAGCATGATAGATTGTATCAATCAGTATCCAACAAAAAGAGCGTGACAAAAAGTTGTCAAGCCTGAATTTGACATCTTTGAGCTCCATTTTTGAGTTTGAATTGCATTATGACATATTTGTAAGTTGCGTTCTATTCAGTGTTTGTCAACAGTAAAAACACGTCATCTGAACACGTACTTTGTGTGGCTGTGAGGAGTTCCAGGTGCCTTTCCAAAGTGTCTGTACACCTCTCTGCCTTTGCGGGGTCCTGAAAAGAAATGTAAAAAGAAAATTAAAGAGCAGTTACAAAAGCTTCACATCCTAAAAAGCTTCAAAGAAAAAAAATAATCACACTACCATTCACCCCATTTATTTGAACAAATAATGTTAACCTGTTTGCAGGAAAAACTCTGAACTAATTAAGGTTGTTATATGGAATCCTTAGAGGAAACTGACTACAAGTTCATGGAGCAGCTAGTCTTTTGCTGCTCAAATTGCAGCTAAACGAGATGTCAAGTGAAAACTGATCACTAGTATAACTGTTTAGATGACATTTTTTAAAATTGTGTAGAAATTATGGGTAAAGGTTTGCCGCCTAAAATACTTTTTTTCATTTTTTTGATCTAAAACAAAAAAAAGAAAGACCTTTTAAGTTGAGAAAATATGCACTGCAATCTAGCACCACCGAAGTTTCCCGAATACAGATGAAAACTTCTCAGTTCAAGCTTCATGACTTCTTAATCATTTTGTAACCCCCCCCCCCCCCCCCGGGAACTAAATCAAGCCAATGTGTAACTGTATGCAAAGAGCACACACACGAAACTCAATTAGACCTGCACAATGTTTTAATTAAGTCCTGAATGTTAGCTATCTCAGTTTTTGTTTTTGCAAAAATGGTTTGCATCATGTCTTTCCTGAATCCAAAATAAATAAATATTTTTCATCTGTTATGAGGGTAGCAGATAGCTAGCTCAGATTTCATGGGCTTTCTTCAAATGAGTAAAACGCAAGAATATGTAGTGAGAAAGCATCGCTTGTTTACATGAAATTATTTATCTTAATCATGAAAAATTCAGACTCCCACAATGTGCTCATTACAAATAGTCAAAACTCAGTAACAATTAAATGACTTTGAATTCTGCAGCCATGCTCGCCATGAAAGAACGAACCATTTATTTGGTTTCCGTCAAGTAGACGCTTATCACAATGTTTGATACAATTATTAATTTAACATGTGTAGTACTATTATTAGTCTACAGTTATGCTCAAGTAGCACCACATTTGTGATAACCTCGATGTAGTACATGTTTGATAGCCAAACAAGACAATGAATCATTAGTACTTAAATTTCATGATCGCATTAATGATATGAATATAAATCTTCATGTTTTATTACCTGACAGCAGCACAGTGCCCTGTCCTTTGGGAGCAGCCAAAGCCAGCTGGTCAAAGGTCATCACCTGACCACCTGCCTTCAGGATCCTGCGGCGGGCACCATCAGTTACCCTCAAAGCGCAGATCTGTGCGGCAACAAACAGGATGTTAGGACAATCTCAGAGACTGCGAATAACAATGCATACGAGTGAAGATCGTCATAAACAGAATGGAAACGTAGGGACAAACAATAACAGGTTAACTTTGCCTCTGTTAAAAGGAGGAGTTACCTTCAGCTTGGGGATATCCTGAATCCTGACATCATCAGTGACAGATCCCACAACAACAGCGGTTCTGTTCTCACGACCAGGCATCTTCATCTTTCGGATCTGGCAGCAAGGAAAACAATGGCATAAATTTGCATGCAAAATCCGAGGAGCTTACACGGCTTCAACAGCTTCAATATTTACCGTCGTAATGCCTAACTGCACAGACTCAGTACTGTTTTCAATTAAGGATCAGACGAGGACATGAATTCTGTGGCCAAAAAAAGTACATCTTCATCCCGCTCACTTGGGACTGACAGCATGAAAAAAGAAAATTGATACAACTACTGTAAGATATTTAAAATATAGACATTTTGAAACAATTGATCATAGTAGTTTTGCGTGACGTTTGTTGGCTCTATGTGAAAACAAACATGACACAGGGGAAGATTTCTTTTAGGCTAAAGCATACTGAAGCAGACAGGATACTTTTCATCCAAGAAGAACTGCATCAGTTTAAGGTAGTTAACACTATTTCAGAGTCGGTCATAAAAGTAGTTACTTGTTAAAATACACAATTGTTTTTGCCTTCCTCAGAAAAAAATCTGGTCTTCTCATGGAATTGTACTTTGGCATGTCGCAAGTGTAAGATTTGATTTAAAAAAAAAAACACTGATAGAATCTGTATTTATTATTAAAACCTCACATCGGCCTTAATTCTGAAGCAGAAATCGTGTGCATCAACTAAAACAGGTAAACTACTGCCTAAACTTTGAAGATGTCTCCGTTGTTGTAAATTTCTCCTTTGTGGGATGAATAAAGCCTTATCTTATCGTAACTGTTCACACAGGTCACCTCGTCTAAAATAAATTCCTGATTCAAAAAAAACAATAACTTAATTTACAACTTGCTCAAACAGCAAAACACATCTTTGAGAAAAGTGAAAGCAGGATTCAATCATGATGGACAGGAGGGAGATTAGACTGACCAGACGAGAGATGGAGATGGGGGGCCTGTTGGTCCTGCTCATGAAAAGCCTCCTCAGGACAACCTTGTTGAAGGGAGCATTAGAGCGACGGGCCAGGAACCTGTACAACTGTAAGACCACAGCAGAATGATTAGATGAGACAGCTATGAAGTTAATATTTAGAAAGTACAAACACAGACTTGACTGTCTCAGAATGACAGGAGTCAATACTGGTGGTACTACTGAACTAAGTGGGGTTAAGTTACCTTGACCAGGAGCCTCAGATAGATATCCTGGCTCTTTGGTTCTTTCCTGTGCACCTTACGGTCCTTATTGTGTCTGATGTCGACTCCCTGGAAAAGTAATAATACAATAAACAAACAATTAAACACCTTGGGAGAAATATATGTAAAACACTTAACAAATCTCAGACACTCAATTGCCCGTCTTCAAGTGTACTTGCAAGTTAACTGCAGACAAACCACTGATAAATCAACATGTAACTATAGGCAGAGATTGAATCATTAATGACAATGTTTATTCCCATTAGCATAACTTTAAAAAGCAGCTAGCATGTCAGGTTAGCGCAGGCCGGTTCACACGTTGACACCCAGCAGCTAGCTGAGCAGCTCACCTGGAGCAAAGCGAAGCAGCCTGTCAATAAAAACAGGACACAACCCGACAAACACAGTTTTATCGTCGGGGAAATGTGAATTATGCTTAAACCTAGTATTCCTCTCTTTAAGTTACTTTCAAAGGTCGACTCTAATCAACCTAGCGGCAGCCTGGGCAGCACTTGTTTGGTTTCACACACAGGCTGAGCTAGAACGATTTATAGAATCAAATACCTCGAAATCATGATCGATCTGTAACCTTTATAGTGTTTAAAACCATTTCGTGTTGACATTATGAAGATGAGCTATTGTAATTCAAAGGATGACCGTGGATAGTCTAGCCATCGTAGTTTAAAATTTCTATTAGCGGTACCTACCATCTTGGACTCAGAGCGAAAAGGGAAAAGGAAGAGCCGAGGTCTCGCGATAAACAGTGCGCTGAAATCTCAGGTTTCTGATTGGCTGCGGAGCATGCGCTTCCTGCAGGGCAGAGTAAATACAAGTCACTGTTTAGGTTGTTGCCTCTAGTGGTAGAGACGGCGACATACAACTACGATTTTGATAGTAGGCTACTTTCGGATTTTTGTAATCATTTTGCACTTTGTGGGTCCTTAAATTATGCATAATTTTAAATGACAATTAAACCACAAAATTGGTTTAATAGGTTACATATTTTACATATAGCTTTCTTTACTTAGAAGGTCTATCCTCTAGACAGCTTGCACAAACAATTGTGAATAATGGTGAGTAATTACTCTTATTTGCATCTAGCCTTCATAGACAGTCTTCAGCATCATCTGTTGCGAAATACATTTTGGTCTTTTATTTATAATCCATGTTGTGTGTAAACGTTGTGATGATCAGTCAAGCCTCTCAACAGCCACAGAGCGGAGAGCTCATGTTTTACTCATTGTCAAGTAAAGGAACCAATTGAGAAAAAAACATGTTTATATAATAAACATTTATTATAATATCACCACCACTCTTCTCTTACAACCAACAATTACATCTTTAATATTTATGAAATACAACTAAATATGAAATAACCAATTATTAAAAAAAAAAAATCTGCAATAGGTTAAATGTTAAAAAACAAAACAATCGAGAGCATTTACAATTAAATGATTCTTTTCACAATTAAACATGATTAGGTCGTTACAGTTTTCCAAACAAAATAATAAAATAAACAGAACTTTGTTTAATTATTGGTTTAAAAACACACAGTGACATCAACAAAGCTAATCAATATGATAAAATAACAAGTGTAGCAGGAAAAGTATCATTACACCGCAATGTAGCGCTCTCTGTATTCAGAGAAAATAACAATATTAATACGTATAGAAGCAGGATTTAATTGCTGAATCAACATTTGTGTTTTATTTCAGGAGTCCCTCTTGTTTCCTCAGAAAAACCGATCACTCTGCATCTGAAATCATCCTTTCAATTAGCCTAATATGATATCAATATTGTTACCCTCTGTTGTTTCTCACACAAAAGTCTTTCCTTTTAAAAACTTGCATCATGGAGCCAATGATCTTACATTTATTCAAGTTTGTGGTTAGGCTGCTTTCTGAGGTGACACAGGAAGATGGTGAAAGCCAGAGCGATGCCTCCCAGAAATGTTGTCCGAGCCACAGGCGGGACCAGAGCGAAGTTTACTGCCTAATGAGGGAGGAGGACATAAAACAAACACTTAAGTTGTTTTAAATCTGTATGTAAATGTCTGTGAGACTGCAGACATAAAGTTACTTGAATTATGAAATAATACAAAAATATGTCACCTGCATTGTTGACCAGAATGCTACTCCAGCCTAAAGAGAGGAACAGAAATCAGAGTTATAGATAAACAGAGAGAGATTTGTTACTCGGTATTTGAGGAATAATGAGTGATCATCTGAAAAGGCAACTCTTATGTGTACCTTGTAAGATGTCCAGAATTTCTGTCTCCAGTCTTCGAGTGGGTCATCTTTGTTTTCTAGTAAACTCAAACCTAAAAGGTAGAGCTGGTTGTCAAATGTTTTGATTAAACTCGTTAAAAAAAAACAAAAAAAAAACAGTAGAGACAAGAACCTTTCAAACCTACTTTGTAAGAAATGTTAATTTAGAACAACATTTTTCTTTTATATTGTGAAACGTGTTTTTGAAACAACAACAAAATCCAAACTTTGTTTTGCAGACTCATTACTGAATAATGTCCCCTGTTCAAGTGAACATTTTCAGCTGAACATGCAACAATTAAGAGGAAAAGGTTTATTTTACGATTAATGAAGACAAACTAAAATGACTCAAGCATAAACAGTTTAGTGAAATTCAGTGATGACAGGGGAGATGGTCGCTCAGTAATCTGTTGAATATTAACATATTGACCATCATTATCCTTCAAAACTATCCTGATCGATAAATCACTGAGCCCTGCTTCATTAAAGGCCACATCTCAGCACAGCAGATTTTACAACAGTGAATTCAAAGGCAAACATTTCCTCTTGGAGGGAACAGAGTTGAGGTTTGTCTATTCTTATTTAAGCCTTTGTCAGAGTCTGGCCTCATGAAACATATTTCACAGTTATTTCCAGGAAGCCTCAGAGGACAGTATAAATTCAAAAAGTGTAAATTACTCTATATTCTATGAGCACATGGTACTCTAGCCTTTTTAAGTTAGAATGTGAGTCACAGACAAAACAAGTGACAGTTATTTAGACTTTGCACAACAAAAGATATTGAGAAGAAAAAAAGTTCCTACCAATATAAAATGCACTTATGGTGAGAGGAGCTGCTATCAGCTGATCCACCACAACTTTCCCTGTCACCGCCTTCACCCCTCCTCCTGGCAGCATCCTCTCCAGCCCTTTCAGCCAGTGGTAGTTGAAGTTGGCATGGAAACAGAAGCCGACAGTCGCAACACGAGCCGTCTGACACCAGTCGATGCCGGCTGACTCCTCGGCTGTTGATCCTGCGTCGGGTTTCCCTCCCAGCACGCTTTGCTGTATGAGGTCAGCAGAAGCAAACAGTGTTGTGTATCCCAGGACGTTACTGATGTAAGGATGGGCTTTGAACACAGCCCAGGCCCGATTCATGGTGACAGACCTGATCAGAGAGAGGATCAATTTTCATAGTAAAGCAAGTGGGTGTGACTCTTTTAAAAAGATGACACTTTTGGCGTAATGGAGGCTTTAAAAGAAATGCAGCTAAATAATGCCTATAAATGTTGACCAAAATACATGACACAAGCAAATGCAATAAAACAGGCTGTGTTGAATCAGAATTTTATCCGAAAAGGGAAACTTACTTTTCAGAAGAGCTTTTCTCTCCCTCTGTTGGACAAGAAGGAGGAGGAGTGAGATGAATCTAATGCAGGTCACTCTGCACGCCAATGAGGGAGTTCATTTTTCTCACCAGATCAAAGTTCTGACTCAGTTGCAGAGAATGTGAGATAAGACCTTTATCAGCCTGCTGGAGAGAAACCTGAGAAAACACCACATGCAAGGAATGGAGACACAGAGTGTCAAACAGTTATGGAAAAACAAATCCTGTCTTGCTGTTATACTTAATGTGTAAGTGTCTGAGGTTTAGTTACTAAATGAGACAATGGCACACGTTGTTTTTAAGACAGAGTGAGTTATAAATTATATCTTTGAGAACTTGACTTTTGAATTATTTTCCATAATGTCCGTGTACACTAGTTAAAATCACTTACCACAGAGTTGTCCAACTTTTTGAAGTGTAAGCATTGAGAGCAGCAGGCAGAGAGTAAATTGTGCAGCTCTCTGGTCAGAGACACATGGTCGGGGTGTCTCTATAAATAGATGCCACTCCTGCAGAAATGCTTCCCTGCTACGAGTAAAGTGCTGAAGATCTTCAAATCCTTCAAATGTATCGGAGAAGAAGGATGTTTTTGCATTAAATGAGGCAAAAGATGTAGTTTACTAATTTTTAAAAGACTTGCATTCAACTGAACTCTACTAATCTCTATTTTATAAAACTATAAAACATTACTTTTGTTTATCTGCAAACTAACTATACTTTGAAAACGTGTACTGCTCTTTTCTTCAAAGAAATAGATTTTATTTTAGCAATAATATTTATAATATTGTTGTTGCAAGTCTTTCAAATTTATTTTTTGTTTTACTTTTGGAGAGCTTGTACAACATTTTCTTATGATCATTTTTCTGCATCAAACAGTCAAGTATATTCCTTGTATAGTAAATGGACTTGTACAGAACTCACTGTATGTACACTTTTGACCACTTTTACACTGCATATCACATTCACACTTTCACACGCTGATGACAGAGGATGTTATGGAGAGTGGCCATCAGTATTAACTAATCCCATAGAAGTTAATGTCATTGGGACCAATTTTGAGGGTCAATGCTCCCATATTGAGATTGGAGCTGGGATTGAACCATCAACCTTCAGATTAAAAGACGACTGACTCTACCACTTTCCATCAGCTGCTCTATAAAAACCTACATGGCCATAAACCTGGCTCAGATTCTCAAATTCTTCCCTGGAAACTGAGAGCTGTGAACTCTGTGGATCCGTTTAAAAAGCAGTTAAAGACCCATCTGTTCAGACTTTGTTTGATCTGTTTATATTTGATTTTATGTAACTGTCTGTTTCAATGACTTTTTCTAATCCTTTATTGTGAAGCACTTTGTGAAATCTGCTCCTGAAAGGTGTTAATAAACTTTACTTAATAGGGAACACTAAAGAGGCCATACATAGCAGTTGAATATACCATAGGTTAGAGGTAAAGTTTTGTCCTCCAAGTCTTCCTTAAAACATGGAGGGAAATGGAAGTCATGCCATTTGTAGTCAGGAGATGGCAGGATTTGAAGTGGATGGTAAAATAAATTTAAATGTACAAAGTTCACAAATAAGTGACTTCACTAGTCAGTATGATAAAAAAAACTTTGAACAAAATGTATGTGTATGTCAGAATGTTATTGCTTGTAGATTTGAAAATCAAAGAAGTAGGGCCCGACCGATACTGAATAGTTGGGGCTGATACCGATATCAAAATTAGGGAGAGAAAAAATCAGATACCGATATATTGGCCGATATTTTTCTTAGATCTATTTTCGATCTGTAGAGAAAGATAGATATAGACATAGCCTACACATTTTTGTGTTGAATTCTCAAATGCAGTTATCAAACACTTGTAGAAAAGATATATAACGAAGACAACATGGTCACTCAACTGGAAAGTAACTGTGCGTACGTGTGTCACCGCTTTACACCCTGGAGAGTGATAATGCTTGTTGTAATCGAATACACTCTGCTGGTGAACAAAAACTGCTAGTTAAATGCAATGATACTCACATGAAATGCTATTTGACTGGTGAATAAATCTAGTAATATCAGCGCATATCTGTGATAAAATTAGCTGATACCGATAACATTGGCCGATATTATCGAGCGGCCGATTAATCAGTCGGCCTCAAAAAACTTGTTATAAGTAAAAACTTAAACAACATCATAAGGCTAAATCCTCACTAGGATATTAGGATAGGTTAAAAATTAAAATCATGGAAGTCAAAGCATATATAAAGATGAACATCAAACCTGTTTGATTTTGTATCTCTCTTTGTCTCCTGTCTTTGTGGGAAGGACAGCCTCTCTTCTTCATCCACCTGCTGCTGCCATAGATATGTAAAATTCTGTACTTGGAAGGTGTGCTAATGAATAGCAAAGGTCAATAAAAGACACTAGCAACCATGTTAGCTCTTCCCTCTGAGAATGTGATAATGAGGGCCAGAGTTTAAGCTGATCAATTAAGGCCTCAAATGGTGCGTTTGTGTCTCCCAGTGTTTAACAAGCTGCCTTTAGTGTGAGACACAATAGACACGTGCACACACACACACCTCCACCAGAGGTTGACTTCTCAGATAATTGCCTCTCATCGTGCCGCACTTCCTCTCTCTCTCTATTATCTGTCAAGTTGGCTTTCATTCAAAATGCTGAGAAAAAAGGGGGATTTGTGTATTTACGTGGAGCTTCTGTGTCACTTGACTTAATTCTCTGCAGACAGACACAGCACATACAGAGACGTCCATAAACAAAGACATTTCCACACCTCTGCCTTTGTAGAGCTATAGCTGCCCTTCTCCTCCTCCGTCAGTGTGCGTCCTCAGGATACTTTGAGAAGACACGAAGACAGCAGCAGCAGGAGGGTAGGTAGATATGTTTTTATAAACTCCGTTTTCTATTGAACATGAATAAATATCTAACATGGGCTAACAAAAACGTAAAGGTTTTTGATTGATCAGTCCCTTCTTGTAACAGGCTAAAGAAGTATTCAGATGCTTCTCTTAAAGGTAAATGAACTAAATGTAAACATACAAATTACATGTAAAGTCTTTAATTTGAATGTGAAAATATGTCAAAATAAACACGTGGAAGCAATTAAATTCCCAAAATGCATCAAAATGTTTTGCTAAAGGTTGATGCTTCATAATTATTTTCTGTATAATACAATTTTGCTGTGGTTATTCATGGAGCTAAACACTGCTGGTGATGTTGATTCATCTGCAGAAATGCTTTTATATTTTATAAGTTACAAGCTTCAAGCCACTGTTTTAAAATAAATGCTTTGGAGTAAAAAGTGAAATATGTATTCATGATATGACACTGAGAACAGTTACTTCTCGTGGCTTAAATAGTTCTTTGCTTATTTAAGCTGAAATGTACTTATTCTGTTGAAAATATTTTCATCTTTATTTTAACTCGTGAAGTAGACTCAGAACTTTGACATTTTATTATAATATCTTTGTATTGTCTGTTGGTGTCAATGTATTTCATTTCTCTTTAGAGGGTTGTTTGGAGTTTGTTAATATAATCAAAATTAATTGTTTTTGGTATTATTTAATCATTTGGTTTAATGCTTGTTAATTGTCATGATTATTTGTGTATGCAGAGAAAAACATTGAATAGGAGATGGTGCATCTCAAAGAGTTTCTAAAAAACAAATTCAAAAGAAGAAAAAAACCTCATCTAAATTACCTTAAGACTGTGTTAACGAACTGTAATTAGATAAAAATAAATAAATAATAAAACATTTTCAACAAAGCTATAATGGCAATGACACAAATGTATAACAAAGTAATAAATGAGGTCAATAGCTTTGAAAGCCATAAAACTTTGTTTTACATCTTAATTTACTCAGTGTCGACCTTGAGTTGCTCATTGCTTCCACCCTCTCTCCTGCAGCCATGCGTCCATCCATCTCCGTGTCTCTGGAGCCTGGGTTGGAGCGAGGGGTCCCATGGGGTCGTGACCTTTACACCTTTGTTACATCAGCAGCAGGTCATATGATGCGGACCCTTCAGAAACCCCGGAAGAACCGACCATCCAAACGGCAGGTCAACCACCGTCGCTTCCTGCACAATATGATTCAGAGGTGTGTTGGAGCGTCAGAGAAACCAAGATGTCTGCCGAAATGAAACAAACACAACATTTTATTTCTAAACTGGACGTCACAGAGGGAGTTATCAGATGATAAGAGGGATAAGACAAAGACAAATAACTTTTTTCCTTACTAATACCAATTCTCTTATCTAGACATAAATATTGGCCCATACAACGCTACAATACTCATTTTAAAAATGCTTTTCAACAGCTGTATACTAATAACCCTGTCTGGGATTGATTACAGTTGTTCTTGTAAGGCCAAACTAAGTAAAAGTTTTCTAACTTGGAAAAAAAAGCTTAGCTGACGTTAGCAGCAACTATGCTTGTAGAGTGAAAGTGCTTAATTCTTTACCAGTTTTTATGGTCTAAACTTTGAATAGTCCTAAAACATGTGATCTGCCAGCTTCGACTTACACTACATCTACTCTAACAAAGCTCTGCTATTGTTTGGTACTCTCACTTCTTCTTCTATATGTAACTTTTTACATGTATAAATCTTTTTCTATCGCCCATTAATAAGTGAACGGTTAACTGATGTGAAAAAGTAGATGTTCACTGTCTATCTGTGTTGCCTGTATAAAAAGTTTCCCCGGGTCGGAAGTGACAGTTTATGCGTGTTCTCAACGTCCTCCTCACTCGGCTCCGCTTACAGAGATCAACAGTACAAACTCATCACACACTCCAGGTCTTCACCTCCACAGCCAGAGGCCGTCTTCTACACACTTCTATCCGCCCTAAGAGCTCTCAAAGACGGACAAACTCATCACACACTCCTGCTCTCAGCCAGTGCCTGCAGAGACTGTCGTTTGTAGGATGGAGAATGAATACAGACACACAGACTCCTTCACAGACTTTCACGTGTATGACCACTTACCTCCTCTGTAAACATTATGCTGGTAAATATC